GTGTAGTAAAAATGATCTGTTCTTGTGAAAACATTTCTCTATATCCTGACTCCTAGTAAGTTGGAATTAGGGTGTAGGTTTAGTCTCTAGCTCCAGACAGGACTGTCACAGAGCAAAATACTAGAAGCATGTTCCTTGCAAAATCTGGCTTTTATGAACTCAGGTTCATACCTACTGCAATTTTTTATATCTATTGCATACTTTATACCTACTGCAGCCTCCCAAATACAATGATAGACAAAACAGTTACAAAGCTGAACACAATCCAGTCCTCCTTTTTCCCTTTGCAGATTTTTGTTTTGTTTTGGGGCCACTCCTGACTTAATGCTTGGGGTTGTTCTTGGCAGTAGTCATAGGCCCAGGTGGTGCCAGAAAATAAATCCCGGTCTCTGATATGCAGAGCATACACACCAGCCCATAATGCTCTCTCCAGCCCCAGTCCTTATTCTTAAAAATCTTAGTCTATCAGGGGAAACACATACCAAGTGCTGTGTAGGTGCCAACTGAACTTGATGTAATAAATGTGTTAAAATGTCCTATGTGGGGGCTGGAGCGTTAGCACAGTGTGTAGGGTGTTTGCCTTGCACGCAGCCAACCTAGGTTCGATTCCCAGCATCCCATGTGGTCCCCTGAGCATGGCTAAGAGTAATTTCTGTGTGCAGGGCCAGGAGTAACCCCTGTGCATTTCCGGGTGTGACCCAAAAAGAAAAAAAAAGTCATTTGTGGTAAATGTTATCAAGGTCAAACTGAGACAGAACACAGGCAATAAAAGGCCAATAGAGTAAATTGGGCCAGTGTTGATGGCTCCATAAAATGACTAATGAACAAAGGGAGCCGAACAATGGCTGTGCTTAACTTTAATATATTATCAAATCAAATTCAAAAATTCGGGCTAGAGAGATAGTATAGGGGTTAAGGCATCTGCCTTGTGTCCTGCACTCAGCCTGCTGCAAGTCCCTGGTACCACAAATGGTCCCTTGAGTGCCGCCAAGGATCACACTGAGCACAGACTCAGGAAAAGCCCCTAAGCACCTTCAGTGGACCCCAACATCCTAACATCCCCCACCACTCAAAAAAGAAAAGGAGTTAAATAGAAATACCTCCCAGATACTTAAACAAATGGGAGTCAAAAGAAAAGCGAAATAAGCCGTTGACTGGATGATTTATTACTCGGTTGTTGTAGAAACCAAGATCTTGCCATCTTTGCCACTTTGCTCTCTCTGCTCAGTTGTTCTGGCAGACTGAAACTGTGGCTTCACTCCCTGTCTGTGCTGGGGGAGCTGCGCTGCTGTGTGCCTGTAAGTGACCATGCCTTCCTCCTGCCAGCTGAGTTTCCAACTTTTCAGTTTCTAGAAACTTGCAAATAGAAGAAAATCTCATAAAAATGATTTGGTACCATGTGGAATGTTTACACATGAAAAGAACTATGTTATTGCTTAACCTAGATCGTTGTTTCTATTCATAAATATTTCTCAAATACGAAACCAAGTTGCTATGTAATATTTGCTGTATCTAAATAATTCACATTCAGAGTGAATTTTCATGTCTATTTTTAGAAGTGTGCATTTTAAACACACTTCTATGTTATTTGTAGCGTGGTAAATCCTGCAAAAGTAAGCCACTGAATAAATTCTGATCCAATATATGGTAGTCTAAACACAGTTTCGGGTAGTTTGAGAGGGGGAAATATCAAATGAAAAAGAAAAACATTAAAAAATGAGAAACCATGTCATGAATCTAAGTTTCCTTAGAAATTTTCTGGCAAAATTAAGTTATGACCATTAAGAGAGAAACCACATGGGTCACCACTTGATAGTTGTAAATAATTATAAAGAAAATTGAAAAGCTGTCTGTCCTTTAAAACCAAAACTAGATATTTCCACAGTGCAAGTTAGCAAAAGATTTGGTAAGGTAAAAGGTAAAGGCCCTCCCGTTGATCGTGGATTTGCTCGAGCGGGCCCAGTAACGTCTCCATTGGAGACTTTGTTGTTACTGTGTCTGGCATATCGAATACTCTCGATAGCTTGCCGGGCTCTCCGAGAGGGGCGGAGGAATTGAACTCGGGTCGGCCATGTTGGCCGCTTGTAAGGCGAACGCCCTACCCGCTGTGCTAGAAAGTTAATTCAGTAGCCCCAAATTTCTTATGTAACTATAGGTTGGTTTTATCTGTGAACACCAAATATAATATTAAATAGCACATAACCAATCATTATAAGCACTATGCCAAAAGAAGTTGCCTTTTTTGATGGCAAAATGACAGAGAAATGTAAACTAAAATGGCATAGCAAAGAAGTCCATCATTATTCTTTTGATGTCACTGTCCTCCTGTTGTTCATCGATTTGCTCAAGCGGGCCCAGTAACGTCTCCATTGTGACAATTGTTATTGTGCTTGGCATATCGAATACATCATGGGGAGCTTGCCAGACTTTGCCGTGCAGGCGAGATACTCTCGGTTGCTTGCCAGGCTCTCCAAGAGGGGCAGAGGAATCGAACCGGGGTCAGCCAGGTCAGCCGCGTGCAAGGCAAACGCCCTACCGTTGTGCTATGGCTTGCTTCGGCATTCTTTTGATATTCTCATAATTCAACCAAGAAGAAAACTATTAGAAGTTACAATTAAAGAAATTACGCAGGCCAGAGTGACAGTACAGCAGGTAGGGTAGCCTTGCATCCGGGTTCAATCTCTGGCATCCCATATGGTCCCCCAAGCACTGCCAGGAGTAATTCCTGAGTGCAGAGTCAGGAGTAACCCCTGGGCATCGCTGGATATGACCCAAAAAGTAAAAAAAGAGAAAGAAATGAAGCATCAAAATTCTCTCTAAATACAAAAGAAAAAGCTAGGCCCTCTTTATTAAGTCTAAAACACTTCTATAAAGGCATTATTTCCTCATGGAATCAAGGGACCAGTGTTAACAATGTTTCCTACAATGACTTTAAAGCATGCCTGCAAATTCTGACACGGATGTTGGGCCTGACTTAACATCTGACTTCTCCTGGGAAGAATGGGCCTCACAATGTTGTGACTTTTGTGACGAAGTCATCAGAAGTAGACGGGTTCTGCTAGACCCAGAAGACAGCATCAGGCTGTAAGGAAGCCCCGGCCACACCAAGAGGCAATAGGGAGGTGTCCCAGTCAACAGCTTCTGCTAGGACCCTTTGCCCCACAGTGGACACCAGCATCACCTGCTAGCAGCATCAGTCTGCAGAGGAATCTGGCATCAGGCAAAGTAAAATCTCTGCCCTAGGACCCAGACATTGTGGAGCAGAAACAAACCACCCCTGACTGTGCTCTCTAAATTCATGACACGTCTTCCTCCAAAAATATATATATGTGAGGTAATAAAAGATTACTGCAGTTTCAAATCATCTTCTACCATCAATACAAAAATAACAGTTAACTACAATGCATACACATAAAAAAATGCAGTTTCTCAAACTGAAAAAAAAAAACCCTTAAACAAACCAATTATAGTCTGCATAAATTCAGTTTTATTTAGGTAAACTGAACTTTCCTAATTTGAGATCTGAAATCACTAGACTCTAAATTTTTGTGTTATGCTGGCTGAATTCATTCAAGTAGCTCTGCAAGGAGAACTCAGGGAATCTGCTCAGGAACAGGAGATTACAGAAGTTGATTAAGAGAACAAAGTTTTTCAAGTACAGTCCTCTCTATATAGAGGGCACTTTTACTGAATGTCAAATGAAGTTTGAAAATGATTATTCCTCATCACTCTTTACATGTTAGTAATTCCTAATTAATCGTCACGTGTATTCTCTATATTTGGTCAGGTCAAGCACAAGACTACCTGTGCATACATATATTCTATCTTTTCCTAATAAAAGACGAGTTCCATGAAAGTATTCCTTATCTTGCTCACCAATGAATTCCCCAAAGGACATAACACAACACTGAAGGTCAAATACCCTACCAGACAGATATTGTGCAAATTCCCAATCCACAAAGCTAACTTCAATGTCTGTGAATTCCGTTTCTTTTTTGCTAATTTGTTCTACCTTTGCCAGTTGTAGTCTAAGCTAGTTGATGTTCTGCTGTATTTTCAAGAGTATTCCTCTACTTTCCTATCACACTTTGCCAGTGTGCTGAAAGATAGAGACCTATGTCTGCACGTGTGCCGGGTGCAATGCGGGCTCTAGCCATTCCCTCCTCCGCAGGCCTGCTGGGATCTCTGTCTTGGCACACCACTTACCATGGAGGGGACAGCAGGCACATTAAGGACAGAGACAATCTCTTCGTAACATTTCCATTCTGTTATTGGCAGAGATTCACTGTTCACCGTTACTTTTAAAAGGTTATAAAGACGGGGTGTTAAAGAGATAGTAAGGCAGGAGAGCGTCTGCCTGGCATGTGGCTGACCTGGCTTCAATCCCTAGCACCGCATATGGTTCCCTGAGCACTTCGAGGAGTAAATCCTGAGTACAGAGCCAGGAGTTACTAAGCACCTAAGCACTGCTGGGTGTAGTTCCCCTCCCCTCTCCCTGCCCCAGTCCCCCCAAAAGATTACAAAGACAGACTGGTTTACTTGTGATAGAAAAGGAAAAAAATATACATGTACTGTTTGGTATATTACTCAAGTTCAATCAGGACTGAGATTAAATTTCTCTAATGGTGCTTCAGTGCCTCCGCTCAGATGTATACTTTTCATGGAGTCAAAAATTTCAAGTATTTATTCATAACACAGTGACTGTATTTGCAATTAAGCACTTTAACAGCGCAATTAAGTTTAATTACTGTTAGAGCAGTTACTACCTGCTATAGCTAGATATTCATGTTTCCTCCAGTTTCAATCTGAAATATGAAACTAGCGGTGAGAAGAGGCAGATTCTAGTACAGATCTGATTTGTTATATGGCCCTGGAAAAGTCATTTTAGATCTCTAACTTCACCTGCATGCAGCAGTGATAACAAAGCCTATTTTTAAAGCCTTTCTTATAGGCAAGCAGGGTTAAGAATTATGTGAAAATAATCTTCTGAAATCCCTAAACAAGGTAAAATATGTAGATATTTTATTAGACTATTTTCTAATATTTGATATGATTTTTTATAATTGAACCAAAAATAAAGTTGCATACTTTCAAAACTATAAAATTAAGCCCATTATACAAAGTGAATTAAAGTAATAAAGCTGTATATAATAAAACCCATTTCTCCAGGATTTCATTAACATTAAAAACAATAATTATAAAAATAGGTCGATTTCTTGAAAACACATCTTCAGTTTGGCTTAGGAGTTCTTGCTTAGATCAATCGACTGTCTGGCATCGGCCACAACTTCAGGCACCCGAACTGTCATATTGTCCATAGACTTCGTCAAACAGATCTGGCAGCCCAACCGGGATCTAAAAAAAGGGAAGGGAGGAAGGTTCGGTATGAAGTACATAAATTCACAAGAACAATGCAGTGTTTTAGGACATTTTCTTACGAGGCAGTGAGATGTTTATTTCTCTTTGAAATGTTCATTACATCAAAATAAATACAACCACTCTTAACTAGAGGATTAAAAAATGGTAAAACAAAAAAAAAATATGGTGTGAAAAAGCTTCGTTTTAGTTTTAGTTCCTATTTTCAACTAAGGGGTTTCATCAGAGAACAGCTGCTTTTTGGTAAAAGGGGTGACTGAGACAGTATAACTGAGTCATTACTGGGAGAATGACCAGCAACTTTCTTCTCTTTTAATTTTCCTTTACTAACAGTGATAATCCCTGTCTAGGTAAGTCTACATAACTCAATATGCATGAATTATGTGAAGTGCTATGTTTTATGCCACATTATAGTCAAGAGTGTTTCCTCCTTAGAGCCATCTTGCAATTAAACTGTATTATCGGATGTGATATGCAGTCTGGGTGTCAACAACATGTTCATCAAGGCTACTGAGGGTCTAAAGGCTTCACACCGTATGTTAGCAGGCTGATGTAAAAGGAAGAGCAACTCACTTCAACCCTTCTGAACCTCTCTTATTTATGTGTGTTATGGGGCACTGGGAGTGGAATCAAACCGACCTCTGGCTCAGAACTCAGGACTGAATATGGCATGTTCACAGGAAAGTGTCTGAATCCCACCAAATGGTCGTTTCCTGACCTCATCCTACAAAGGGCCAAGAAGCAGTTTCCTCAGGATGGCTACAAGGATTAGTCGCTAATATCAGTAGTAAGGAGTGAACTCTTGAGACATGGCCAGGTACCTAACATGTAAGACTGTGACACAGGCCACAGACAGAAAAAATCCAAGGGTCTGAAAAAAAAATACTTTGGCCAGGGGTATTTCAAACAGACTTTCAAGGATAGGCCTTGTGAACAGGTAATGAGACATAAGGAGAAAGTCTCTTATGTACTGTAACAGGATTAAAGGCACATGTGAGGCCTGCATGTGTTTTGCCTGACTTCTATGCAGGGCAAACAAAAGCAGAAGAGAAATGGGCAAGAAAACGGCCAGGTTATGTTCCAAAGACAACTCTGAACACCAATGAAGGCATTTAGGTCTTCCCTCCTCCCCCTCCAGTTCTAGGGATCAGACCCTGGTCTCCTGCACTGGTAGCTGAGAGCAATACCACTAATCCAATACAGATTCACAGAAAATTTCAAAAAGTTATCAACATAAATTTCACAGGTAGTTGGTGACATCCTACTGTGAAGAGACACTGGAGTTACAATGAAAGGCAAGAAATGCTCTGCTCTGAGGATAAAAGACAAGTAACCAGTACTCTCAATGCCATAGATGGTACCATCAATCCATCACTAACCAAGGTTCAGTACATCTATAGAAAACAAAATATGTGGCATCTTTAAAATTAAAGACACTTACACAACACTTGAAATGTATGAACTAAACAAATCTCTTTTTTCTTTATTTTGGAACGAGATAGTACCTCAGAGATAGTAAATACTAACGTTGAAAATTATTTCCATTCTGAGTATTTTACAAGTATTACCTGTAAAAACCTTTCCCCAAAAAAGAAATTTGTACAATTATTCAATTATGTAGCACTGTAGCACTGTCCTCCTTTTGTTCATCGATTTGCTCGAGCAACATCTCACAACAAATTGTGAGACTTGTTGTTACTGTTTTTGGCATATCGAATACGTCATGGATAGCTTGCCAGGCTTTGCCGTGCGGGTGAGATACTCTTGGTAGCTTGCCGGGCTCTCCAAGAGGGGCGGAGGAATCGAACTTGGGTCGGCCATGTTGGCTGCATGCAAGGCAAACGCCCTACCTGCTGTGTATTAAATCCCTGTGTATTAAATGCATGTATTAAATCCCTGGTATCATGTGGCCTCCCAATGCCACAGGAACCAAGTGGTACTGCATCTGTGGGCCCTAGCATGAGACCACCAGTCTGGTGGCTGAGAATTGCAGGGAAGAGCTCCTGGACCCTGGAGCCCCTGAGCACCACTTGGGAGTCTCACCCCAATGGGGTGGGGGCAGGCATAGGGGGTGGAAGAGAATCTGAATTGTTTCAGCAATAAAACAGCTTAGAAGAAGATTTTAAAATCTTTTTACATTCTCAAAACTCTCCTAATGGCAGCTGTCTCCTTCCTTTGATGCTCATTACCTAAGAATGCAAGGTTACAAACTGTTACAGACACCTACACATTTTCTCTAAATGAAAGGGCAAACAACTATGATTTAACCCTCATGGAGGCAGACAATTCTCAGAATCAAATAAACACATCACCAAGTCTATTTTTTGCGGGGGGAAATAGAGATGAGAAACATGGTACCTAAAGAAGAAAGTGTGAGGGGGGTAATGACAACCAGAACCTGATTTGCTTTGGAAGCTAGAAAGATAACGATGCCCTCAGTTCCTCTTCCTGGGATAAGTCTTACCTTCACCGAGAGGGAAATGAACCACAAAAGAAGTGATTCTTTACCAAATACCTAAAATTTTTGGTGAGGCTTACATAAGACGGTAAGTTAAAGGGGCTGAAAGAAAAAAATTTAAACAACAGCAGGACCAGAGGGATGGCTCAGAGGGCTGGAGTAATGCTTTGCATGCAGGGGGCTTAGACTTGAAGCCTGGCCTCACATGGTGCCCTGAGCACTGCTGGGAGCAACCTCAGAGCAACAGGCCAGGAACAGCCACTGACACCATGAGGGCCCAATAGACAAAATAGAGCAACTATACATAAAAATTTACCTATAATACAAAAAAATTAAAGGTGGCAGTAGTTATGTATACGTAAGAAATAAGGTTGTACCCACTGGGGGTCCTGGCTGTCATGCCCACAATCTGCCTCCGGGCACCATCTCAGTGCACCAATGGCCCTGGCCCAGGGACTCCCAGTTGAATCCCAAAATGGACTCGTGCCCTACAGAGATGTCTCTAGACCCCAACAATTTGCAATTTTCGAATTCCAGAAGTGCATGGCCACAAAAGTGGCCACGCAAGCTCTCATGATATTCAAAGTGGGCAATAGAAAATAAATTATCTAGCGTCTGCCTCTCACAGGCAGGACTGAATGGTGGTGGGAAAATCCGAGCAAATTATAAAGCCCAAAAGTAGAAAGAGAGTATGGGGGAAATTATCTTAGATATAAATACCTAAATTATCAGCCTTAGAGGACTGAGACGGGGTGGGGAGATACTGAGGACACTGGTGGTGGAAAATATGCAGTAGTGAAGGGGTGGGTGTTCGATCATTGAATGGCTAAAGCTCAAACATGAAAACTTTGTAACTGTATCTCACAATGATTCAATAATAAGAAGGAAAGAAAGAAAGAAAGGAAGAAAGAAAGAAAGAAAGAAAGACAGAAAGATGCTTTTCTTAATTCTATTAATTTTCAAATATATTCTTCATTAGTGTTACCAAAATAAATACCAAATGTGGGGCCAGGATAGTACAGTGGGTAAAGTGGTTGCCTTACACACTACCCACCAGGGTTCGATCCTGGACATTCCAGAGGGCTCCCCTAGGGCACCACCAGGAGTAACTAGTGAGCACAGAGCCAGGAGTAAGCCCTAACCATCACCAGATGTGACCCCCGAAACAAATAAACACCTAATACAAGCTTAATTAAGGCTTCAATGCCTTACCTCTTAAAACAGTAAATCAACTATAACTCCCTTCCTAACTTCAACTCTAGATAGTATCTTTTATATATGGTATAGTTCTTGATATGATATCACTGGCTAATAGAAATGTTATCACTTTTATGAGTAGAACTACCTACTAATAACAAGAATAAGCCGACCTAATACACTTATAATTCATTTAACAAAATTACTATATATTAAATTTCTCTGGAACCTACTCTTTGAACTAGGTAAATTTTTCCAATATATTTCATTCAATTATCAAACTATTTTTCACGAAAATCATAAAAAGTATTTAATTTGGGGCTGGAGTGATAGCACAGCGGATAGGGCATTTGCCTTGCATGCAGCCAACCTGGGTTCAATTTCCAGTATCCCATATGGTCCCTTGAATACCACCAGGAGTAACAAGCCAAGAGTAACCCCTGTGTGTCGCCAGGTGTGACACAAAAAGAAAAAAAAATGTATTAAATTTAAGTCTTACTCATGAAGTTTTCTTTTAATTATTATTTTCTCTTTTTGGGTCACACCTGGCCATGCACAGGGGTTACTCCTGGCTCTGCACTCAGGAATTACTCCTAGCAGTGCTCAGGGGACCAAATGGGATGCTGGGAATCAAACCCAGGTCGGCCGTGTGCAAGGCAAACGCCCTACCTGCTGTGCTATCGCTCCAGCCCCTCACTCATGAAGTTTTGATAAATATTAATTTCTGGAATAAAAATGGACTTTTATTAATTAGAAGATTGTATTAGAATCTAGAAATTATACTTCCAATAACTCAATTGTTTTTAATTTTTATAAAAAGGAAAATTTCCTAAGGATGAAACAATAAAAATATTCTTAATGATGTGTCACATTTTGGTATTCAAAACATCTAAGTGATATCTGCAGGCTGGGAGCATAAAGTACATGCAAAGGGCTTATCTCAGACATGAACTAACAGAACTTCCTCTTCCCAGATTACCTGTATAAGTGAAATGACCCTAAAATCTTACTTATCTGTCAGTCCATATGCCAGATCAAGCATGTCATTTTCCTCATCCGTGATTGCATCCAACTTCTCATAGATGTGCTTTTCAAAGACAAGGTGACAGGTAGAGCATGCCAGAGTTCCTTCACAAGCACCTACAAAATAACAGACATTGAATACACGCTCCTCTACATTTGACATAATCCAATGACTACTAAATTTTTGAATCAGCATTAGTATACATAAACCATAGGGTTTTATTTCTGAATAGTCAGAGACAATTGCCTGCCACATAGGGTTAGGTAAAGGTAAAGGTAAAGGCCCTCCCGTTGATCGTCGATTTGCTCGAGCGGGCCCAGTAACGTCTCCATTGGAGACTTTGTTGTTACTGTGTCTGGCATATCGAATACTCTCGGTAGCTTGCCGGGCTCTCCAAGAGGGGCGGAGGAATCGAACTCGGGTCGGCCATGTTGGCCGCTTGTAAGGCAAACGCCCTACCGCTGTGCTATTTGGGAATCACATTCCTATATTACCCCAATATGGTGTGGGGCTAAGTGCTTTGAAAGAAAACATCTAGACACAATTCCAATACCCCAAGTGCTTACAAATCAATGAGCCAAGATACATAACACAAAAAATTAGCTGACTGGGTATGGAGAACAAAGCCTCAAGTTGAAACTATACCTCCCGGTACCATGAGTATGGCCCAGTGGCCCCCAGCACTTCCCCGCCAACCAACCACTAAACATCTGACCCACACAGTCAGGTAAGCACCCAAGTGATGCTGGGCAGGCTCCTACTAAATAAAAGTAAGCATTTTAAAACTTGTACAGGAACAACATATACAATAGCTATGAAGCTATTCTTCTCTTCAAGTTCTCAACTTAACTTACAAAGTCTTATGATGTATGGAAAGACAAAGCTTAAAGCACTCAAACCTACACCTAATTAAAATTAATATTCTGCCCTCTGGGCTGGAGCGATAGCACAGTGGTAGGGCGTTTGCCTTGCACGCAGCCAACGTGGCTGACCCGAGTTCGATTCCTCCGCCCCTCTCGGAGAGCCCGGCAAGCTACCGAGAGTATCTCGCCCACACGGCAGAGCCTGGCAAGCTACCCGTGATATTCGATATGCCAAACACAGTAACAAGAAGTCTCACGATGGAGACGTTACTGGTGCCCGCTCGAGCAAATTGATGAACAACAGGAGGACCTTGACCGTGACAATTCTGCCCTCTAAATCTCCGCTTGTAACCAAGAGGGAATGAAATAAGTCACTTTAAAATCACACTACATTTTCTGGAGAAAATGCCTTGTACATGAGTCTAAGGTTTTGATCCCTCACATTAAAACAACAGAACAATCACACTGGCTTTACATATAAATTTCTCCTGACCCACTGCTTTTCAGTCAACGGAAATGAGAGGTCCAATTTCAATTCCTAGCACTCTATGGTTCCCTGATCACAAACAGGAATAGTCCCCAAGCCCTGAGCTGGAGTAATCCCTGAGCACTGCTAGGTAGGACATCCACTCAGGTCCCCCACCAAAAAACTTACATGAGCTTTTTCCCTCTGGAAAGCAAGATGGCAGCCGCTTCGGCTTTTGGAAAGCCAGGTATGAGCCAGTTGTGACGGGGCGACTGAAACCTCATGGGAAGGGGAGCCATCCCGGATCATCCTTCACGCCCTACCGAGGTCACGAGTTGCCCCCCACGAGCAGCTCTCTGGCACAGCCATGACTCCAGAGGCACAAGGACTTAATGCAGAGCCCAGCAGCTTGTGGCAGAAAAGTGAATGGACTATGCGTTAATCCACGCCACCATGCCTGCCCGGAAGGGAAAGGGTGTTGCTCCCTTCCACCTTTTTCCCTCTGGAAAGCAAGATGGTGGCCGCCTCGGAGCCTTTTGGAAAGCCAGGTATGAGCTGGCCGTGATGGGGCGACTGAAACCTCATGGGAAGGGGGATGTTCCTGGCTCGTCCTTCACGCCCTACGGAGGTCACGAGTTGTCCCCCCACAAGCAGCTCTCCAGCACAGCCATGGCTCTAGAGCCACAGAAACCAATCTTATAATTATGTGACTCTTGGCAGAAATACTTCCAGGCTTAATAAGTAAAATATCAGAAATCCAAAATCACGTGGCCGCTACATCATTTGGATTTTGTAACCAGTTGTAGAAAACAAATTATTTCACAATGCCTTTTCAGCAGGTCTGATTTTGGGGTGTAAACTCTAAATAATAATGGAGCATCTTTTGTTGAAACAATGAATCTAATCAAAGTAGATAGAGTGTTAATTAGAATTCATCTACCTCACAGGCATTGGAAGGATTGGGAGGGGGGGTATGTTGGGGTTCTTGGTGGTGAAAAATAAGTACTGGTGAAGGGAAATGTGTTTGATGATTGCATGACTGAGACTTAAACCTGAAAGCTTTGTAACCTTTCCCACAGTGATTCAATAAATAAATTAAAAAAAAAAAAAACTTACGTGAGTGTGTCTTGCACATGTATCTACAGTGATGACCCGGGAGACAGTAAGCACTATACAAGTGTTGCTAATATTACTTGGGAATGAAAAGCAGTCTTAGAAGTCATGGCTCTTTATAAACAAAACTTTAACCTTAAGAAGTTAAATGAATTAAATGAAGTTAAATGAATAAATGAAAGTGATGCCACCTGTTAGAACTGAGTCCTGACTCTAGCCAAGTTTCCCAATATTTAAGACAACTAGTTCCTGCTAGTCCAGTCTCCGGCGACCCAGGGATCACACCCATAAGCCACCTCCTGCCGGTGCCAGATAATCTCATCGGCCTCCCTCCAGAACTCACAGCTGCTTCTTCCAGAATGGAGCATAAAATGAGGCCCCCATAACCATGCCACCAGACTCTGCGCCAGGCTCTTTTCACTCAGGGCACCCCAGAGTGGGGTGGGTGAGACCTCTCCCCACCCCAAGGGAACCAGTCCGGGCAGCTGACCCCACTACCCAACTGCCACCATGTTCCAGACCACTTTCCACACACTTGGTCCAAGCCTCACATGTGAGTGAACATATCCCTGGACCCACAGATCATAGAGGGATAGAGGGTATATATATATATATATACATATATATATATATATATATATATATATACCTCTTGGAGAGCTTGGCAAGTTACCAAGAGTATCCCGCCCGCACAGCAGAGCCTGGCAAGCTATTTGTGGCATATTTGATATGCCAAAAACAGTAACAATAACAGGTCTCATTCCCCTGACCCTGAAAGAGCCTCCAGTGTTGGGAAAGATGATTAAGGAGAGGCTGCTAAAATCTCAGGGCTTGGACGAATGGAGACATTACTGGCACCCACTCAAGGAAATTGATGAACAATGGGATGACAGTAATACAGTGATACAGTTCCTGCTACTCACTAACCTAAATCCTCTTAATGTAGCCAGAGACACTGATCAGTGGTAAACTACTTGCCTAGTATGCGTAAGGGTTCAATCCTCTGGGTTCAATCCTTGCCCTCTCACCAAGAGTGAATTGAAATACAAAGTGTGTATGGAAACATATCATATTATATATGCACCAATTAGTTATTTAACAATGAACTAACTTTTCTATTTTTACATCGCACTGTAGCACTGCCCTCCCATTGTTCATCAATTTGCTCAAGCAAGCACCAGTAACATCTACATTGTGAGACTTGTTACTATTTTTGACATATTGAATATGTCATGGGTAGCTTGCCAGGCTTTGACATGGGCACGGAATACTCTCGGTAGCTTGCTGGGCTTTCCAAGAGGGGCAGAGGAATTGAACCCAGGTCAGCTGCATGCAAGGCAAAAGCCTTACCTGCTATTTTTACATTTACATGAGACATTTCACACAAGAAACATGAACAGCTATATCTGACTTCAGAGAGGGACACCAGCTGTCTAAATCTCTGTATCTCAAGTTTCAAAAACCCTGCAGGAAGGAAAAAATGACAGCAAGATATGACACTGGGTTCGAGCTGCTATCTGAAGGTATCTCATGGGTCTCAACACTTTGAGGGTGGGGTAGGGGGGTCCCACAGCCAGCAGTGCTTGGGGCTAACTCTTGGCTCTGTGCTCAGGGACTACTTTTGGTGGCGCTCAGCATTTTCTTCTTCTGTGAGCCAAGGTTGGTATAAACCGGTGTTTCCCCAAATGGGTGACCCTCCCAGGGGTGGCAGTAGTCTCAGTACAACCAGCGGTGCTTTCTGTTTGTTGCTTAATCCAGGTAAATTTCTGTAAGAGACCTGATGCCTTTCTTCTTTTTCCCTCAAAAAGGAAGCAGTAAACCAGAGAAATTAGGGATCCTCTGATGCAGATTATCGCTAAAGGCGTAGGGGCTCTAACATTCTGTGACTCCACCAAGAATCATAATTGAGCAGATTTGCCTACTAGGAGTCAATCCAGACACTTCCCAACAACTTTCTGCTGTTTTGGGGGGCCAAACCCAGTAGTGCTCAGGGACCACTCCTGGTAGTGATGGGTGGACCACACAGTGTGCTTAGGATTGAGTGCCTCATCCTCTGTATTCTCCAGCCCCTCCATTCTGACTTTTTATTTATTTTTGTGCTTATTTGTTTGTTTGGGGGTCATAGCCAGTAATACTCAGGACTTACACCTGGCAGGGCTTAGGGAACTATATGGGGAACTGGGGACTGAACTCAGTAAACCACATGCAAGGGAAGCGCCCCAACCCACTGGAGCAACGCCTGGCTATTGCTTTCAGATTTTTATCTCGGTATCAAATCCAGACAAAGTGCAAGCTGATATAGCCCTCTATGAAACAAATATTAGATACCGTGGGACAAAAACGAGAAACTCCAGCTCCTTTTGTCTTAAATGTAAGTTAACTACTTACTCACAAAACATCTCAAGCAACTTAACTTCTTAAAAAGCTTCATTTCTCTTCAGATGTTTGTTCATTACCAAAATAAACCCTGACCACCACAGTCATGCCTAACAGCAGATACAAGAAAAAGAAAATTCTGAGTGCAGGGCAGAGCCAGCGCGGGCCCCGCAGAGGACAGGGCCGGTGTGGGTGCCAAGCCTTACGGCTCCTCTATTCCCATTGTGCTCCCTGACACTCGAGCTAGGTCACACTCTCAAAAACTATCTGTCTCTAGGGGTGGGCTGCCTTGGAATGA